ACGGGCCGTAGCCAACAGCGAGCATCGCATGGTTCACGATGTTGCTGCACTGGCTGCTGGCGAAGACACCTGGGAAGAGCAAAGCAGAAGTGGGAGGGACTGGGGGCGGGGGGGAGGAGGCGGTGTCGCTCCCCCTCGGAGTAGAAACAGACTCTGGAGGAAGGTCCCAGAAGCTAAGAGGGGAAAACTCCCGCAGGGCACTGGACTGATGCCGCCAGGGCTGCTTTGTCCCTGCAGGCTGTGAGACACGAGGTCCCAGGAGCTCTCAGCATGCCCAGCTGTGGAAGGAGGAAATAAAGGCCCCCTGGGAGGCGAGGCGAGTTGTTCTGGGTGGGAATCCGGACAGCCCAGCTCCGGCTCAGTGAAAAAGCCCTGAGCCGAAGGGCTGGAATTCTGTGCCCACTGTCCCAGAGGGATGTCGATCTGGAGGGCTCAGAGAAGAGCCGTCACCACGATAAAAGAATTGGGGCTTGTCTCCAGCTCTGCCACTGCAGCTCTTTGCAAAGACACTTCCCATGTCCCTGGGAGAGGCTCTCCGCTGGCGTAGGCACTCCTCCTCCCTGGGACGTGGCAGCCCTGTCAATGGGAGAAGCCCTCCTGTCGGGGCAGCGCTGGGTATGCTGGGGGCTATGTTGATATAACGCCGCTGCGCAGAAAACCTGCCCCATAGTCAGGCCCCCATACGGCGGGGGGGGGGTGAGAGAGATTACACTTTCCCGGGGCAATCAACTCAAGGAGCTCAATTTATTTAGCTTCAAGTGCAAGCTAAGTACCTATATGGGAATGAATATTTGATAATGGGCGCCCGAGTCTAGCCGACAGAGGCATAACACAATCTAATGGCTGGGAGAGAAAGTTAAACAAATTTGGACTGGAAATAAGGGGGAGACTTTTCCCAGGGAGGGCAATTAACCATTGGGACAGTTTTAATCAGGAGTCACAGTGGATTCTCCCTCACTGGCAGTTTTTTTTAAATCAAGGTTTCTTAAAAGAGCCGTGCTAGCAATTCATTCAGCCTGTGTTCTCCCATAGCATAAGAACTAGGGGTCACTGAATGAAATTAATAGGTAGCAGGCTTAAAACAAACAAAAGGAAGTTTTTCTTCATACAGTGCACAGTCAACCTGTGGAACTCCTTGCCAGGGGATGCTGTGAAGGTCAGGACTTTAACAGGGTTCAAACAGGAACTAGATCCATTCACAGAGGTTAGATCCATCCAGGGCTATTAGCCAGGGTGGATAGGAATGGTGTCCCTCGCCTCTGTCAGAGGCTGGAAATGGATGACAGGGGAGAACATAAGAACATAAGAACGGCCGTACTGGGTCAGACCAAAGGTCCATCTAGCCCAGTATCCTGTCTACCGACAGTGGCCAACACCAGGTACCCCAGAGAGGGTGGACCGAAGACAATGATCAAGCAATTTGTCTCCTGCCATCCCTCTCCAGCCTCTGACAAACAGAGGCCAAGGACACCATTTTATCCGCTGGCTA